TTTTACTTCTTCTCCTTGAAGAGAAGTCTTCTTACCTTTACTCTTCTTTCGGACTTTAATGTTGTTCAGAACCTTTTTTGTGTTTTCGATCAGCTCCTGGATCTGGTCCTCACTAGTTTTTGTTGCGTCCGGTGGAATGATGATCTTGATCTTTGCAAAAGCTTTCGGCTTTTCCTTTTCTTTCTCTTTTGGCCTGTTTGCTTTACTTGGAAATTCATCTAAGATAGTAGGATAGTATGTCTTTCTGTCCACATTGAGGAAAACAGCATGCCGGTTTGCGTGATCGATTATTGCTCCTATTGTAGCTAGGAATGGTCTCTCGAAAATGAGTGGCCTCTCCTTGTCTTTATCCATCTACAGGACTTGGAAATCTGCTGGAACAATCTTATCTCCCACTAGAACTTGTAGATCATGAATCGCCCATTCAGTATCTTTTTGAGATGAATCTCCAAAGATAACCTTAACCGTCGATGTCCTTAAGGTTTTTATGCCCAATCTTTCGGCAAATGCCTTAGACATGATATTGACATTGGCTCTGAAATCGCACAAGCAGTCTGTAAACTTGATTCCTGAAATGAAACACTGGAAAACAAAACGTCCCGGATCATCGGCTTTGGTAAGCCTTTGAAACGGTGATCGTTCGGGTACCTTAAACGGTGGCTGCTTGGGATCGATGTCCTTGTACAGTGGTACAAAGATTGGGGTTTCTTCTTTCTTTCCATCGGTTCCGGACTCTTCTTCGGGCAATGTTGTTATGGCATTGCAAAACTTCTTAGGGTTATCTTCAACTCTTCCTGGAAGACCTCCACTTTGCCTCTTCATAGAGTCGGCTGTTTGGGCAACTTGCACATCTAACTTCTTTACGTGCGAAGATAAAGATTCAAACTTACCATTCAGAACATTGTACATGCAGTCCACTTTCACGTTCACGTCTTTAGACGCTTTTTCGTTCGTCATAACGAGCTGTTGGATTGACTGTTCAAGTCTACCGATTTATGAAGCTAGCTGGTTCGTCGTGACTCCCTGCTGTTGTACAAATTGATTGTTAAAATCCGTACCTTGGTAGTTATATGGTTGTCGCGGTTGATATGGTACTATTCCTCCAAAGTTTCCACCTTGAAACTTGTTTTGGAATGATTTTTGCTGAGGTGGGTAGTACTGATCTTGAGGGTTCTCCACATTTGGATTGCGGTAAGAGAGATTGTTGTAATTTGCATTCCAGAAGTTGTTGTTGAAGTTGTTGTTGGAACGATTTTGGTATAACACCAGTGCTCCTACGTAGTTCACATCTTCTTCTTGAAATGCTTGATTAATGTGATCGATATCACTAGGTCCTTCCTCTTCTGCGCCATTGTTGGTTTCACAAGCATGGATCGGGCGATTGTTGCTCTTCAGAAGCTGGCTCACCATGTTCTTCAACTCGGTTATCTCCTTGTTGTCTGTTCCGGCTTGCTTCATCGATCGATAATATTCAGGACAGTCATTGCTATTGGCTTGAGCCAAATTTTCGATGAGGGCTTTTCCTTGGGTTATCGTCTTTTGCCCAAAATCTCCATTGCTAGCTGTATCAAGTGAAAGTTTGTATTTTGGTTGCAAACCTCAGTAAAATGTGCTCAGCAGGCTTGATCCATCAAATCCATGATGAGGGCAATCACGTTCATACTCCTTAAAACGTTCCCAAGCTTCATAGAAAGATTCATTTGGCCCTTGTTGAAAGGTTGAGATCTTCGTTCTCAGATTGTTCGACCTTGACTTAGTGTAGAAGTGGTTCAGGAAAGCTGTTCTACATTCTTCCCAATTAGTAATCGATCCTGCAGGCAAAGACTTCAACCAACGGTGAGCTTTATCTGCTAATGAAAAAGGGAACAACTTACACTTTAAATAGTCAGGTGGAACTTGGTTTGTTCTCATCATGCTGCAAATTTCTTCAAAAAGCTCGATATGGTCCATTGGGTGCTCAGAAGGAACTCCATGGAACTGGTTTTGCTTCACCAATGAGATGATTTGAGGCTTGACTTCAAACTCATTCCGGTTTGAAAATGGTACTTGAATCGCAGATCGATTCTGAAAATTTTGAGTAGGTGCATCAAAGTCAGCTATGCGATGGTTCCTGGCTTGTCTTCGGTGTTGATTTGCTGGCAGAATGGGGCGGTGAACGCGTTCATTCGGCTGCATTGCTGGGTGGTCACCATCGGCTACATTGATGGGTGGATCAAGGTCTTCACGTCCTTCTCTCTCTCGGTTCTGGTGGTTTCTTGGAAGAACCTCATCCTCCTCTCCATCTTGTCGAGCATGATCACCTTCTATGTGATCATTCTCTTCGTTTTCTCCATGTTCGGACCCTTCTTGGTCCATATTTAAATTTCGATTAATAGGATCTCCAGGCTGGTCGTCGTTGGCCATTCCTTGCGTTCGTCTAAGTCTTCGAAGTTCTCTTTCGTGTCTGTCTATCTCGTCTAGAATTGGAATGTCTCCTGCAGGTCTACGCCTGGTATTCATGCAATTCAGAGAAAGACAAAAGAAGGGAAAGATAGTTCAGAAAAACTTTAAGAAAGAATTAGAGATCAGGTGTCTAGAACAGAAGTTAAAACAAGAAAAATAGCAAGAGGCAGCGAAACAAATCCCCGGCAACGGCGCCAAAAACTTGATGCGTGCTCGTGTGAACTACGTGAGGGAACAAGTTTTACCCTTAACAAAACAAATGAAAGCCGCAAGTGCACAACTAATCAGTTGTAGTATTTAGGGATCGAATCCACAGAGATTTGTGTGCCTGGTATTCTTCTACGGTTTTTAACTTTATGTCTAGACTAAATTGGTTTTAAAAGTTGGTTGTTTTTCTTGCGAATTAAACTAAAACAAAAGAAAGCAAATAAATCTATCCTAAAAAGCAAGTAAAGAAAATAGAATGAAATGCAAATGGAACAAGTAAAATATCGAACTAAACAAAAATAAGGCAAGTAAAATATAAACTATGGCTAAAAACGCTGAGCTTTTGGGAACTCTAAGGGATCATAATCGGTTTTAACATTAGTGTAGATAGATTGGGATTGACGGATAACAATATATGGGTTCTAGAGCTAGAGTACGGCGGTATGACTACGTCACTGTCGTGATCATAACCAACTGTTTCTCGCAACCCTGACCAGTAGGTTTCCACTCTAGCCCTGGAAGGGAGAGAACGCAAGAGCTGCACAAGACTCGTCAATACTCACGATCTCGCCGCAGGTAGGTTTCCACTCTTACGGAAAATCGCCTGTTTCATTCTAGGGCTGATACTTAATGAAAACTTTCGCAACACTAACTATCTAGATCAGATACTAGGTGATCAATCAAGCATACATGCAATAAGAACAAGAATAAACAGAGAACAGGTCGAAATCCCAGATCTATAAACTTAGATGTCTTAATCGATTATGAGAGCCCCTTTCGGGAACCCTAAGCCCAACTCGGGATCTACTCAGACATGGCTGAGTTCGACATCATCATTGGTTTTATTAAAAGTAATGAAAAACAGTAAAGAAAAGAGATAAAGAAAGCTTCTCTATTGAAGAACTCGGACTTGAACAATCTTCTACAGAAATCTCATAAAAACGGCTAAAGGAAAAAGGTTTCTGTAAAGTATGAAAAGCTTTCTCTAAAAACGACCTAAATGACATGTATTTATAGTCTCCAATACTCCATGGTCTCTAGGGTTCCGGAATTGAGGCTGTGAATGACTTTGGGCTTTAGATAAGTGGGCTTTAAGTCGGAGGTTGAATGCGGCAATTGGCTTGTTGGCCGCGGTCGGGAAGCTTCTGACCGCGGCAAATAGCTTGTTGGCCGCGGTCGCGTGAATTGCTGGCCGACTCCGCGTGGCTCCGGGGCTAATGGAATATCTTGAGATCCAACCGTTGGAATGTCTTCTAACCAAGTACATTTGAAAGCTGGTTGATTCTTCTATAAGTTTTCCAATTTTGAGGGTGATCAGACGGTGAGAAGGTCTTCATCTCTCCATGAGAGTTCTGACGGTTTGTATTTATCCAAAAGAGTCTTTTTGTTTTATTTTGTGCCTCTTTATCCCAAATTACCTGAAAAATCTTTTAAAATCCGGAAACATAAAAATCTTTTGAAAACCTTTGAAAATGGAGTAAAAACACATGTAAAAAATATTAAAATGATCCATAAAAATAGTCAAAATCCGGTGTTATCACATTCTACCTTCATGTATAGCCAAAAAAATTAACATTTATAGATATAATTGTCATGTAACACGACAAACTAATCATTGGAATCAATTTATCAAGATATATTAATTCCTGCATGACATTATCAATCGTCATGCATGACATTATTAAGACGTTAACGGATTGATGTAGAACATAACTAACGAGCTTAACAATAATATTTCTCTGTTTTTTAGTTATTTTAGTCAATATTAACAATTGATTATTTATAAAAATGATTTCTCATGTTTTTTTAGTTAATTATTTGGCTTCCTGTTCTTCGACACACAAAAAAAAACGCAAATAATAAAATCAAAGAAGTTTACATCCTAAATGAACCCCTAAATCTAACGTTTTATAAATTGTAAATAGATCTATAGAACAAGGAAAAAAAATTAGAAATAGTCCTATGAAACAAAAAATAGATATATGGAACCAAAGAAAACACTTATGAACACTGATGTTAAAATAAAATAAAAGAACTTTTTTCCTCTAGAATGATAAATATTCCTGGAGGCAAGAACTGGAGTAAAATAGAAATATCTCGGGAACCAAACTTCCTAAAAGAGAGAAACATAAGAAAATAAAAAAACAAAACACACCAAAGCTATTTAACAAATAATCCCACTGATTTAATGATGCAAAAGTTGACAATAATAAATTGCTAATAATACATTTTATTTTATAAGTGTCGACATTAAATACAGTTTAGTTCATAACTCTGTGATTATAATACCACTAGGAAACAAAAACTCACTGTATATATAAACTCACTTTATTTTCTCTTTCGTTGTCAGAAACTTCGAAGAGTCTCTTCTTTTATTTGACAAGAAAACCGACAAAACAACAAAAGAGACAATGGAAGGAAGAGTCAACGCTCTTTCAAACCTAAACGACTTAGAGCTACACAACTTCTTGGTCGATCCAAACTTCGATCAGTTCATAAATCTCATCAGAGGAGACGATCAAATCATCGAGAACCCACCTCTCGATTTCGATCTCGGTGGTCCATTGCAGAACAGCCCCTGTTTCATCGACGAAAACCAGTTTATTCCAACACCTGTCGATGACCTGTTCGACGAATTGCCTGACTTAGACTCCAATGTCGCCGAATCGTTTCGTAGCTTCGACGGCGAGAGTACTGTCAGAGCCGGTGGTGAAGACGATTACAACGACGGCGACGATTCTTCAGCCACCACAACGAATAACGACGGGACCCGAAAGACGAAAACGGATCGGTCAAGGACTTTGATCTCGGAAAGAAGAAGGAGAGGTCGTATGAAGGATAAGCTCTACGCATTGAGATCTCTTGTTCCAAACATTACTAAGGTAAATCTTGAATCTATTTTACAGAACACAAAACAGAGATTATGAAACTGAGTGGAACATTTTTTTTTTGATTTGTGGCATTAGATGGATAAAGCATCTATAGTGGGAGATGCAGTGTTGTATGTTCAAGAATTGCAATCACAAGCCAAGAAACTCAAAGCCGATATAGCTGGTCTTGAAGCTTCTTTAAACTCTTCTGGTGGGTATCAAGAACCTGAACTAGATGCTCAAAAGATTCAAACTTTTCGCGGAATCAATCCTCCTGTTTCCAAGAAAATCATTCAGGTAAAGAAACCCCAAAAAGAGGACATATTAGAAACGTTCTGTTCAAAAGGGTTATGTCCAAAATGGTTAAAGTTTGTGTTTTTGTGTGTTTTAGATGGATGTAATTCAAGTGGAGGAGAAAGGGTTTTATGTGAGATTGGTGTGTAATAAAGGAGAAGGTGTGGCTCCATCACTTTACAAGTCTTTGGAGTCTCTTACAAGTTTCCAAGTGCAAAACTCCAACCTAAGCTCTCCTTCCTCTGACAGATACCTCTTAACGTATACATTAGATGTAATCCAACTTGTCCCCTTTTATTTTTTGGTTTCTATTAGTTTCTGAATATTCGTTTACTAATGTACAGAGTTTGCTTGTTTGCTGGAAACAGGGGACATGTTTTGAACAAAGCTTAAACTTGCCTAACCTGAAGCTGTGGATCACCGGATCACTTCTAAACCAAGGTTTTGAATTCATCAAGCCTTTCACTTGATTTCATAACGCGATGTTCCAGTCTGATTTAAACCCGGTTCTGCATCTCATTGATTGTCTTCCTCTCTGTATGTTTTATAATTCCCTGGGATCTAATTTTAATTCTAATGATGATGTAATCGAGGTTGTTGATTCTCTATCGAATAAACATGGTTTTTGTAGAGTAATCAGCGTATTTCTTGGATTATAATCTCAAGCCTTAAGTTGATATATTATGTTTTGGACCTTTTGGTTCATTGCATTACCGCCTAGTGACTTTTTAAACATTTTGGCTATTCGTAAGAGACTAATGTTGTTTTAAGAGCATTGAGACATATCTTGATTCCATATATTGTTCTTTGTTGAATTAAATAAAGAATAAAGGTTTCTTAACCCGGATACAGCAGTACAGACGACCCATAAGGTCGCCGACTCAATTCTATGAACCTAATTTAAGATTTCAGATTTATTCACAACGTGGTTAAAATGAATGACCCTAATATTGTTGTTGTTGCAAGACCAAGACGGATGCTCTTGAAGGAAACTCCTTTGATGCTATAACATCTCCAATGGCTCCAAGCTCATCAAACTCTGTCCATTCATTCAATCCTTCTGTAACCACGCTATTCATTCCGCTACTTCTTCCAACAATAAACATATCGAAATCGTATGCTATTGATCTTAGTATCGTCGAAGTCTCAGCACCTTCTTTGACACTTTTGTCAATACATGTCACGGGATCAGTGTCCTCTGAATCCTCCTCGTTCTTCATGATCTCTTTTATGTCCTCCATATCGAACTTCTGCACCAACTCCTCGTTTTCCCCGGTTTTGAGTTGAGGAATGAAGCGTAAAATGGTTACGCTTGTCCTCTTGTTTCTTCTCATACGGTTAGTGAATGCTAAGGCTTCTCTATCGTCTTTCCCTCCCACAAATATTGCACAAACCTGAACTTAGAACCATAAGATCAGTTTGGACATGAGATCTTTAGATTACATCATTAGAAACATGGTTTCTTGATTAAGTACCTTGTAACAAGATCCGGCCATTTGAGATTCCCATAGAGGTTTACGGTAGACAAAGATTCCGACAGAGCATGCCGCTCTTTTCAAGACTTGGCGGTTGAGATTCTGCACGGCCTTGTCGTCAGTGAGGACGGTTGATCGGTCAACAGACCAAGAACGGTGAAAAGGAAGAACAACAAGAGCTAAACTTTTGTCTAGGACAAGCGAACAAAGATCCTCGTGCATGTGATCAACCAAGCTCGCAGAAGTAAAGATGTCAATGGACATTACTTCTTCAGTGAAGAGTCTATGGAGTTGTATGAACGCGGCTATGACATTTCTTGAGCAAGATTTTGTTCCGACCATCGGCTTTTGTAACTGGTGGGAAATGAAAGTAGGACTGGCTTGACCCATTAGCTCCACTAGGTGAAGAACGTTGCATTCGAGTTGTGAGTCTTGTGTTGGGTGAAAGACTTCAACAAAGTTGATCATGGAGGTTATGTGGTCAGGCTTGTGAATGCATACAAGGGTCTTTAGCTTAGAGTCGTTTTTCAAGGTTAGCAAGTTCCTATCTCGGTAGCAACTAAAGGTCTGATGTGGTTGGTACATGAAATCGATCGCGATCGGTATTGATAGAGAGCTGACAAGTACTGATGCAGCTGCGACTGTGAAGCTCTTGTTGTCAAACATCTGTTTTAGAGAATTGAAATGGACATTAAGAATCGATTGTTATTGCGAGATGAGGTATTTTTGCAAAGTTTAAAACATGTACTTTGCAAAGTTTAAACGCATACATTTGCGTTTAGCGTTAAGAATATGAATGCTATTTAAATAAGTAAAGGTTTTAGTTCGGGAAATTTCACAAAAAACTAAAGGTTTTAATTTGGAAAATTTCACAAATACCACTGTTATGATATCATTTTGCGAAAATATCACCAATGATATTTTAAAAAGTAGAGTCTTTTGCATGAATTGTCATTCGTCCAGCTATTATTAGTTAGCATTTTCCTATTTGGATTTAACACTTATTTCATTATTCATGATTATTTTACCATTAGAAAACACAACATGAACGACAATATACAAGAGCAGTAAGGTGGAGTTGAACATTCATTTCAACGCTAAAAGATATATAAAAACAAAATAAATCAAAAGGGCAAAAAGTGACAAAAAATGAAAACCCAAGTTTTAAGTGCTATCTGATGCTCAAAATTGACCAAAAAAGTGCTATCTGGTGCAAATAATTCAAAAATGTAAAATTTGCGTAGTTTATATAAATGTTTATAAACTTTCTCCATCTTGAATTACAGACGTTTCTAAATATCAGTTTTCATTACTACTCTAATTCTTTTTATAAACATGTTATAAAACTTCATAACTATAACCTTTAAATATAGTTTATACTATTTCTTCTAAAGTTTCATAAGTTGTTTTAAAGCTTGATTTATAAATTTTTATAAATAATCTTACAAATACATATAAAAATACTATTTTTAAAAAGAAAAAGCAAACCATAGTATTTTTTTACAAACCGTAGTATTTGTAAAAACTTAAGAAGTGGTGTCAAAGTGGTATTTTTGAAATTTCCTGTTTTAGTAGTTTCATACAAAACTATGGCATGTAAACACACAAAATAAATAAAAGAAGTGTTTATAAACTTTCTCCATCTTGAATTACAGACGTTTCTAAATATCAGTTTTCATTACTACTCTAATTCTTTTTATAAACATGTTATAAAAATTCATAACTAAAACCTTTAAATATAGTTTCTACTATTTCTTCTAAAGTTTTATAAGTTGTTTTAAAGCTTAATTTATAAATTTTTATAAATAATCTTACAAATACGTATAAAAATACTATTTTTAAAAAGAAAAAGCAAACCATGGTATTTTTCTACAAACCGTAGTATTTGTAAAAACTTAAGAAGTGGTGTCAAAGTGGTATTTTTGAAATTTCTTGTTTTAGTAGTTTCATGTCGAAATAAATGCAAAACTATGGCATGTAAACACACAAAATAAATAAAAGAAGTGCTTACTTTGAATTCAACAATGTAGCCTAGGTAGCCGAGCTCGAAGATGCTTCTGTGTGACATAACCAAAGCCAAGACAATGGAATCTCGGTAAGGAATTTTCATAGCAAAAGCTATTAATGCTGTGACAAAGTACTTAACCACAGTAACTATCAAGATCAAGGAGATGGCTTCATAAGCAAGCCCCTCCATGTTTTTTAGCTGCGATAGCTCTCGCATTAACCACGATATATCGAGTTGTCCCATGGTTAGAGATGCGAAAAGCGGCAAGAAAACACCAACGTTCAAACATTCAAATCTCTGAATGAGAGCAGATCCAAGTGGAGGACCAGCCGGGGTGGCCAAACCGATAATAAACCAGCCGTATGGTGAAAAATAAAAGAATTTAAGCCAAAACAAGTACACCAAATAGGCGATAGCCATAACCGCATAGATGTAGACATCTTTAACCGGCCTGCCTTCTGGTGTTTGTTTGATAATCCATAACATAACTGGCCATACGATATAGAACAAGACCACGACGATGAATATTTTAGCGATAACATGCTTCAAACCTTGTTGTCCTTTAAACAACATGTTCACGGAGGTTATTATAAAGATTACTAAGTCGGAGACCGCTGCACAAGACTGCACGATTCGTCCAAACTCGGAATGGTTGATCTTGAGATCTTTTAAGAGTCCATTCACACCTGCAAATGTTGACACACACTGCAAGGCCGTGATAGTTTCGTACTGATATTCTGGCATGGCTAACTCCCCAAAATGTAACCTAGTCCTCATGAGAATGTAACCGGATAGGAGAGGTATGACCACTGACGTAAAACCGATCAAAGCAGCCCTTGGTTCGGTTTTTTTAAGAATCCCAACGTCTATAGTCACGCCTTTAAGGAACCAGTACATGACAAACCCAAATGCACCTGCGGTCTCTGCTAGCTTTGGCCTCCCGTCGTCTGGTAAAAACATCTGATGAAGCAAAGAGCCTGGACTGGTGTAAGAAAATAGGTTGATGGCCACACCGCCCTTCAGCAATAGAAATATAGTTCATGTAAATTAAAATTACATCTCTTTCAAAAAAAAAAAAAAAAAATTACATCGAATATTTGATTGTTGCGTTTATATTCTATAAAATGATCAAATCGAATGATAATTTGTTGAAAGTTTTTCATTTCGTTAGAAAACAACTTTTGAAATAATTGTATCCATACTGATGGTAAGAAAATATTATTTTAGTTAATTGTTAACGCAAACGCCAAAGTAAATTAAATATGTTTGATTTTCTAGAAAATGTGAAATTCGTTTTGTTTTGTCACGTGAATGCGGAAATAACTTTTGAAACATCATAAATGAAGAAGTTTGTCACTGTACTTACAAGCATCATGGAGGGGATTTTGGGAATGGGAATGTTGGACATTTTGAACAAGATCTCAAAGAATTGCCACAAGAGGAAGACTGAGAAGATCATAAGCTCTAGATTAGGAAGAGGGTATTCCCAAAAACCTAACCCTACTGATCTGTGAAGTATCTTCTCCCACACACCGAAAGAGTTGATCTTAGACGGAAGTGACTCGCAAAACATATCCCTGTCCTCACTCAGCGCATAGCCGCGCCAAACCAGACTCGTCCACCAACTCGCATTGTAGGTATTCATAGACTATCTCAAACTCTATCTATTAACAAATGATGTATGTGTTTTCGGGGGGAGGTGGGAGGTTAAAAGGGATGAGTTTAAAAGGATTGGTGTTTAAGAGTTTTGGTGCAACAAAGACATCCTATAATTAACCTTTAATGACATGAGTAAATAAATAAATTTGAAACAACTTGCAGGTGTTTCGGTTCTTGGCTTCTTGGTGAACTGAATAATTTAAGTTATGACAGATAGATTTCATATTTTTATCTTAAAATTGATGAAACTCCCTTACTCAAAAATTTATACAAGCAACGCACTTTCAGTTGGTGATCAGTACACCATAACGGTTTGGTTGTAGATAGTTACAACTGTACGGTAAATTGTTAATTGCTAGAGATTCGAATTCCAAGATAGATAAAACTATACGATAAATAAGGAAATAATTTTTTTTTAGAGAAATCTTTTAGTGTGCAAACAAGGAAATAATTTCAAATAGCGGTTTCGATGAAGAAATATAAACGAATATGTGTGTCGAGGATAGGTCTTTTGAATGTCCAAAACCCATACCGGCTCGACCACCTGAAAAATAAAAATGGTTGGGACTTAAATATAATAAACCCCAAATATATGGTTTTTTCCCCTTAATTTATCAATTAGAAAATGGGTTCTTTTCAAAGATTAGTCCAGCAGGACTCAGAGAAGCCTGAATAATTGACTCTCGAAATATGCTTATATAATTGCGTCTAGTGTAAATTCTTAATACATATGTTAATACTTTTTTAAACATTTGATGACTTATCTTTCTTTATAATTTGGTTTGCTTATAATAAGCTTCAAAGTGCATGATTATTATTGAAAATGCATGGGTTGGTTGAAAAAACAAAAAAGATTATTATTAAAATTGCATGGAATGTAGAATGGCTTTATATTAATTAGAAGATGATACGTTAGCAACAACTTTCTATAAAGGCATGAATTGCAACCTAAACTTTAAAAATATTTGACTATTTCCATAAGCGTTCGATGTCATTGATAATTCGTATACGCAGGGATCAAAGAAGAGTTGGAAGGTATGTATGTATATGCAACCGTTTTTGGGTAGGACTTCGGGTAGAATTGCTTAGTAAATATCTAAATTGTTAATATAAACAAAATAAAATCATTAAAATAATATATTTTTTTTATAAAAAAAATTATAGAATCTTACAAAAACTCGAAAGCCTAAAAAAGGAAAGCAAAGCCGGTGTAAAAAGAAAATATCCCTAGAAACAAAACTGGAAGAAAATAAAACGATTAGGAAGCTAACACGTTAAGATTATGATGCAAAAAATTATAAACCGAATGATTCAAAACTCGTAACCAGTCCGAGAATAAAACGATTTAACCCCGAACTCCAACCTAAACTCAAACCTACCAATCTTTAAAATATATAATTATAGAATTAAAACCAAGATAAATAAAAATATTTATTAAAATAACAAATGTGTGTCGTTAAGGGCGGTTTCAAACTAACAAGTTAAGACAATAAAACTTGATCAAAAATTCCAATTAGTTTTATGTACGTGCGATTACGTCAAAGAGTTTTTTCTTTTTCTTTTCGTTTCTATCATGTGTTCTACAGTTCTACTTCTACATGTAATTTGTTTTCAATTAATTTGACATGGTTGCAAATTCTGACTATCTAAAATCGTTGAAGAATTATCTTGAAAAAGTAAGAAAAATATTTTTAAAAATGTACGTTCCAACCAAGATTAATGCTATTTTTCAGAAAAAACCTTATTTTAGTACATGACTCACTTTTCAGGAAAATGCAAAACAACTCCTAGACATTTTAGATTTTGTTTTTCCTTCATTTTAATTCTGCTCTCGGAAATATAATAATCCACTAGTAACAATGAACAAATTAAATACTATGTGCTCATGCTGTTTTTGGTATTTCAAACTTTATTGTAGATGCTATACAAAAGAGACATATGGAACAAGAGTGGTGCTTTTCTTCGCTTCTAATTATTGGCTACCGTTCGCTGTTGTTGAACTACTAACACCGATGTTTTGCTCGGGAAATCCGGTGAGGCCAAGAAATCACCAATGACTCCAAGCTCCTCAAACTCGCACCAATTCTCTATCCCTTTGGTCGCCTCGTGGTTCTCTCCGCATGTTCTTCCTACGATGAAAAGGTCGTAATCGAAAGCCATGGAACGTAGAAGCATCGACGTGTCCGCTCCATCTAAAATCTCTTGTTCCAAGTAAATCGTGGAAGTATCTTCTTTCATCATTCCTGAATCGTTGTTTCGCATCAACTCTCTTAGTTCCACTGTGTCAAGCATTTGATCCCATCCTGACGCTTCTTTGCTCTTTCCGGATGCTAAAAGGCGTAGAACCGTTAATGTTACATTCTCTTGACGAGCCATTCGTTTTGCAAAGGCCAATGCTTCCCTATCGTCTTTTCCTCCCACAAATACCACACAAACCTGTCATCAAATCACTCCAAGGACTTAGCATGTAATTTGGAAGCATGTAATAGGCCACAATATTTTCTTGCTACTTGAGACGTCTATAGTTCATAATAGAGCGAGTTCTTCATACCTAGTTTCATTTGATAAATTACAAAGATGATAAAATGTAATTGTGAGTATATACCTTAAGGTTTTGTGGAGAATCTTGCTTTTTGTTAACGACATGACGTTCAATAAGGATGCCAACAGAGCAAGGAGCTTGTTTCAAGACGTTGAAATTGAGAAATCGGATCATTTCATCGTCGGATACGATGGATGTTCGGTCGAGTGACCAAGTCCGATGGAAAGGAAGAATGATTAGCGTGACAGCTTTATCGAGAGCGAGCCAACAAACATCATCCTGCATGTGGTTCGGGTTTGCTATGCAAGTGAATGTGTCTATGGAAACTGAACTGCATACATAACGGGTAAAATGTTCGAAAGAAAGAATGACGTTTTCCGAATACTTTTTCCCTGACCCGACTCCAAGTTTCTGGACTTTGTGTGAGATCAAAGTGGGAACATCTTGACCTTGTAACTCGACAAGGTGAAGAACGTAGCAAGTGAGAGGACTCTCTTCAGATTGATAAGAAGCTTCTAGAAGGTTGATCATGGAAGATATGTGGTCTGGCCTATGGATGCACACAAGGGTCTTTAGCTCTCCAATGGTCTTCAAACTTGCTAAATTTCTCTTTTGGTAGCACAAGAATTGCTTGGATGGGTCGTAGAGAAAACCAATCGTTATTGGTATGAGTATTGAGTTGATGACGATGGCCAAGACTAGGATCGAGAAGGTATCTCTAGTTAAAAGCTGTATCAAACCAATCAGAAAAATGAATCATTTTATTTTTGTATCTTTCAAGAAAACTAAATAATAATCAAGAAAGATGAGATACTAACCAAGAGGCCATAAGAGAAAAGATAGAAACTTAGTTCGATAATACCCTTATGGGACATGATAAGGGCAAGAACAATGGAGTCTCTCAATGGCATTTTATAGAGGTAAGGTACGATCACTGAAACTGAGATCTTCAACAAGAAGATCAGCAAAACGAGAGACGCAACCGCAAATTTCTTTTCATCACTGCCGAAGAATGTTAAACTGGTTTTCCAAGAACTGATATCAGTCCTGAGCATACTGGCTGACAAGAAGAGAGGCAATATGATACCGAAATTGAAGCTCTCTAATCGTTCGATCAATGCTGAACCAATAGGGGGTCCATTGGGAATGGCCAGACCGAGAAAGAAAGCTCCAAGGGCAGGAAACTGCTCAAGATCGTCCCAATACATACACGCTATACAAACCATGAGGATAATCCCGTAGATGTATTTGTCGTCGATGGGTCTCCCTTCTCGTTTGCGTTTGATTACTTTAAACATCAATCGCCTCAATACAACAAACGAAATGACGATAAAGAAGATCATTTCAGCAAGTAGACTGAAACCTTGAACCTTTGATTTAAAAGTAACAGGAACCATTCCCAACAAGAACGTGAGTCCAACCATATCAGAGACTAAGGCTGAGGATAAAGCAACCCGACCAATAGACGAGTGGTTCATGCCAAGGTCGCGTAAGAGCCTTGCGATTCCCGAGAAGGACGTTAGGCTCTCCATTAGCAACAATGTATCGTACTCTTCAGTTTTAAGTGGTCGATTCTCACCAGATTTAAACTTGTAAAGCACTAGACCAACAACTATAGGCAAAGTAACTGCTGCGACTCCTGTTACTCTTGCCTTTGCTTCAGCTTTCAAGATTCTCCTGACGTCCATTTTCACACCCTTGAGGAACCAAAAAATCATGAAGCCAAATGATCCAAGGCATCCTGCAATGTCGATTCTATTTTTAGGGAACAAGATCTCTTGAATAATAGACTTGTCGCCATAAATAGTAAGTAGAGCGTTCAAGAGTAACCCTGCCTTCAATGCAAAGAAATGTATTATCAAGATTTTGCATTAAGCAAATAATAAATTTCCAAGAATGAGAAGAAGAGGAAAAAGAACTTACAAGCATCATAGAGGTGAACTTAGGAATCGAAAGACCCAATTTCTTGAACAAGACATTAAAGACTTGCCAAAAGAAGAATACAAGTAAGATGACAAGCTCAAGATTCGGAAGACGATATTGCCAAACGTTATAACCAATTTTTTTCAAAATAATTTTCTCCCAAATACCATCTGAAGACAGTTTAACCGGATGCTCCTCGCACATAAACCCATCAGTACCTCTTATAGCTTCCCCATACCAAGTCAAATCAAATACCCAATTTAAATCAAGCCCCACACCTCCCGGTACACCACCGTCATTTCCAACAAAATCTGGTTCTGGCATCCCAAGTCCTTGATCCGTCGCATTTCCCATCGTCTCCATGGTTCTAAAATCTTATGAAGAATCCTTGTGAGAAAATGGAGAACGCGACGGAGAAATGCTGGTTTCCTCTAAGAGTGAAAAAGAGAAGCCATATGTAAACAAGGGCACACAGATTGTATATGCTGTTTATAGGTTATGCCGTTTTAAAAAAAACACACTTTGGACATCTATAGACATATGTTGTTTTTGACCTTCTTGAGTTGTCTCTCCACTCTATAAATAGTATATAAAGTTAAACCATAAAAGAGGTCAAACCAAAAAAATTACCAGAAAAAAAGGCAAAAAGACCAAAAAAATCGTAGTCATATTGTCGACAAATTAATTAGGTTCATGATTATCTACAAAAATGAAATCAGATTTGTTGATATAGAATATATGAAAAATTTGTAAGGTTTCTAAACCGCATATCTCTGAATAAATAAACATCAATTCTGGTTAAGAAGTGTTGTACTATTCCTTTTTCTAAAATGTTTTTTTTTTAGTTATATTCCGACTCATATAATGGGTTAGTCAAGGACTGAACCCAAAACCTTTAGAACATATTAGGTCATGATTTAGGTTTAAACTTATGAATAAAAAGTAATAACAAAGTTTCCGAGTCACAAGCTCTTTTCACAGATAGAAACAACAACTCTAGATGACAAAGAAAATCAAAAGGTTTGATAAAAAATAAAAATAAAAACAAAAACAAAAGCCCAAAAAAAATGGAGACACAGGTCTTCTAAATAACAGAGAACTTCAACGGCTTTCCGATATTCGACGAATAATATCCACATAAGATTTATCTTCGAAAGAGAAGCCACTGTAATCACAAGGACTTAGATCATCCACCAAATTGTATCATTTGCTTTTAATTTAACATGGATATAGTTACGAATTTCGAGTATTTTTATAACCAATTATCTTGATTCTTGACGAAAAAGGTAGTATAAGAAAGTAAGTTATAATCGTCAAACTCACTTATTTTAGTATATATTTTTTGCTATATGGCATATATATCAGTTTATGTAACAATTTATTTTGTGAAAATTCTGTATATTGACTTTGCAATTTCAGTTGAAATCAATGAAATTATTTTCTCCCAAAAAAGTGAGTTATTTAGCAGAAAAACAAAAAAAAATTAACGTCCAACATTGAGGGTTTGACTGGTTTAAACGCAGTGGTTGCGGTTGCGAATGTAGGAGTTTGTGGAAGCGGACGATTGCGGTTTTGAGCGTTATTCAGCTGTTTGCAACTGGTTAAATTTTTTAAGACGAATCTTTTTGCGAGACATTTTTAACTAGCAAAACTAGCGGTTGTTTTAGCGATTAAATCTAAAATTTCTAAAATAAACATTATATATAATTATAAAAAATAGAAAAACTATAAATAAAAATCACTAGTTCAAAATAATTAATAAAAATTATAAATAAATACTAAATAATTATTTTAAAAACTAATAAATTTTGTAATAATATATTTTATTTTAATTATTGGGAACATTGCCCAAAATTATGTCTAGTAATGTAATAGACTAGAAAAAATTTGCTCTAATATGTGGATTTTCTGGATTTGTCTTATTTATAATGTAAAATTTCTTCAATTGATCTAATCGGTTTTTTGCACGACCCCAACTCATATCAACTCCAAATTGCTCATTAGTATTCTTCAAAATACGTTCTTTTTGGAGTGCACTAAAAAATCTAAGATATTTATCTTGAGTTTGTTTTTCCATAATAATTCATTGAAGTAACGCACATATCATCTCGTTTGATCATGTAACTTTCTGATGAATAAAAAAAGAATTATAATAAACTAATTTTGTAATTAATAATATACATATTTATAATTTCTTACTTTAAAAGTGGAAACAGAACAATTAATATAAATGAATTAAACCAAAGTATTATGACATTTATGCTTGTATCTTAATTTTCTTCAACTTATATAAAAACCATGATTAGAGACTAGAACTTGATAGAAAAAGTGAAAGGTTAGGGTTTATATATATAGGAGAAGATTAGTAGGGTTAGGGTTTTATAACTAATGTGATCTTACGTGATTTTTTTTTTACTCAATAGCTACCGTCCGTAAACGCAAACGCTGGCAGAAAGCAACTTTTGGATTTCAGCGGTATAAAACGATATGGAACGCTTTGCAGCGATTTCTATGATTGTGATAAAATGCCTATAAACGGGTGATAGCGAATGAACCAATCAACACCTGAATTGACGCTAATTCAGGAAAATAAAAAACTAAAACTTATTTTGATACATTCCTAAATTTAGAAGGAAATGCAGAACAACCCTGAACTACAGTAAAAACATTGTAATTTCTCTCAATTTTTTTTTTGTGAATGTAATAATCCGCAAGTAACAATGACCAAACCAAATGATATCGACTCATATTCTGCTTTTGGGTATTTCAAAGTGAATTGCAGAATTACTGGTGTCTCTTTCTGTACCTCTAATTATTTAAAATTTTATTTTAGATGCTATACAAAAGAAATTTGTGGAACAAGTAGTGTGCTTTTCTCCACTTCTAATTATTGGCTACCGTTCGTTGTTGTTGAACTACTAACACCGATGTTTCGCTTGGGAAATCCGGCGAGGCCAAGAAATCACCAATGACTCCAAGCTCCTCAAACTCACACCAATTCTCAGTCCCTCTTGTTGCCTCATGGTTCTCTCCACATGTTCTTCCTACGATGAAAAGGTCGTAACCGTAAGCCATGGAACGTAGAAGCATTGCCGTATCCGCTCCATCTATTATCTCTTGTTCCATATAAATTATGGAACTTTCTTCTTTTAGTACTTCTCCATCGTTCTTTCGCATCAACTCTCTAAGTTCCACTGTGTCAAGCATTTGATCCCATCCTTTCGCTTCTTTGCTCTTTCCGGATGCTAAAAGGCGTAGAACCGTTAATGTCACATTCCCTTGACGAGCCATTCGTTTTCCAAAGGCCAATGCTTCCCTGTCGTCTTTTCCTCCCACGAATATCACACACACCTGTCATCAAGTCCCTCCAAGTACTTAGTTTTTAATTAACCTAGTAAGTTTTTTTTTTTTGAACATTAACCTAGTAAGTTTTTCTTGCTACTTAAAATGTCTATAAAATCACAATGGATGTGGTTCAACAAGTAGAGCGAGTTCTTAACCAAAAAAAACCACCATAATTATTTCTTTGTATTTAGTACTTTCAATGTATGGATAAATTAGAAAGATGATAAAATGAAAAATATGAGTATATACCTTGAGATGTTTTTGAAACTCATGCTTCTTGTTAACAAGATTTCGTTCGATAAGGATGCCGACAGAGCAAGGAGCTTGTTTCAATACGTTGAAATTAAGAAACCGAATCATTTCACTGTCGGATATGATGGAGGTTCGGTCGAGAGACCAAGTCCGATGGAAAGGAAGAATGATAAGCGTGACAGCTTTATCGAGGGTAAGCCAACAAATATCATCTTGCATGTGGTTCGGGTTGCTATGCAAGTGAATGTGTCTATGGAAACAGAACTGCATACATAACGGGTAAAATGTTCGAAAGAAAGGATGACGTTTTCCGAATATTTTTTCCCTGACCCAACTCCGAGTTTCTGGACTTTGTGTGAGATCAAAGTGGGAACGTCTTGACCTTGTAATTCGACAAGGTGAAGCACATAGCAAGTGAGAGGGCTCTCATCAGATTGATAAGAAGCTTCAAGAAGGTTGATCATGGAAGATATGTGTTCAGGTCTATGGATGCACACAAGAGTCTTTAGCTCTCCAATGTTCTTCATACTTGCTAAGTTTTTCTTTTGGTAGCACACGAATTGCTTTGATGGGTCGTATAGAAATCCGATCATTATTGGTATGACAAACGAGTTGAGGACGATAAACAAGACAATGATCGAGTAGGAATCTCTGCTGAAAAGCTGTAACAAACCAATAAGAGAAAAAATGAATCTTTTTTTTTTCTTTCAAGAAAACATAATACTCCCTAAATTTATAATGATGAATTAGTGATTTTTTTGTATCAAAATATAAAAAGTTTTCAATATTTCTATGCAACATTTACATTTATTTGGATATTGTATGACTAATGAGATTAGCTTTTTTTCTGTATTAAAACTATATGATAATTTTTGAAGAAAATTAACTTTCTTAAGTTCCATGCTTTTATCTAAAACATTATGTAGCACATGGAGTTTAATAATCAAGAAATCGAAAGATGAGAGACTAACCTCGAGGCCGAAAGAGAAAAGGTAGAAACCTATTTCGATAATACCCTTATGGGACATGATAAGGGCAAGCAAAAAGGAGTCTCTTAGTGGCATTTTATAGAGGTAAGGTACTATCACCGAGATAGAGAGCTTCAACACGAATATGAGCAAGATGAGAGACGCAACCGCAAATTTTTTTTCATCACTGCTAAAGAACGTAAAACAGTCTTTCCAACATTTGAGATCAACCCTTAGCATACTAGCTGACAGGAAGAGAGGCAATATGATAGCGAAATTGAAGCTCTCGAATCGTTCAATCAATGCAGAACCAATAGGAGGTCCATTGGGAATGGCCAGACCAAGAAAGAAGGCTCCAAGTGCAGGAAACTGCTCAAGATCGTCCCAATACATACAAGCTAAACAAACCATGACGAGAATGCTGTAGATGTATTTGTCTTCGATGGGTCTCCCTTCTCGTTTGCGTTTGATAATTCTAAATATTATCGGTCTCATGACAGTAAACGCAACAAGGATAAAGACGAGCATCTCTACAAGTAGACTCCCACCTTGAATCTTTGATGTAAAATTAACTGGAACTGTTCCCAACAAGAACATGAGTCCAACCAAATCAGAGACTAAGGCTGAGGATAATGCGACCCGACCAATAGACGAGTGGTTCATGTCGAGGTCGCGCAAGAGCCTTGCTATTCCTGAGAAGGATGTGAGGCTCTCCATTAGCAACAATGTATCATACTCTATTGATTTGAGTGGTCGATTCTCAGCTGGTTGTGACTTGTAAAGCACGAAGCCAACAAGTATAGGGAAAGTAACCGCGGCAACTCCAGTTAGTCTTGCCTTTGATTCAGCCCTGAATATTCTCTTGACATCCATTTTCACACCCTTGAGGAACCAGAAAATCAGGAAGCCTAATGATCCCAAGCATCCTGGAATGTCTATTCTATTCTTGGGGAACAAGATCTCTTGCATAATCGAGTTATCGCCAGAAATAGTAAGTAGAACATTCAAGAGTAACCCCGCCTTCAATGTAGCAAAATGTACGTACTGTCAATATTTTGCATAAACAAATCATAGATCTTCAAGAATGAGAAGAACAAAAGGAAGAAGAACTCACAAGCATCATGGAAGTGAAATTTGGAATAGAAAGACCCAATTTCTTGAACAAGATATAAAATACTTGCCAAAGGAAGAACACAAGCAAGATAACAAGCTCCAGATTGGGAAGACGATATTGCCAAAAGCTATAACCCCTTTTGTCAAAAACAGTCTTCTCCCAAATACCATCTGAAGACAACTTAGCCGGATGCTCCTCACATATAAACCCATCACCTCTTATAGCTTCACCATACCAAACCAAATCATTTACCCAATCTACTTCGGACCCCTTAGCTCCTACATTCCCAAATCCCGGGTACGATGTAATGTTATCGCTGCCTCCTCCTCCTGCCCAATAATCATTTCCAATAAAATCCGGCTCTGGCATCCCAAGTCCTGGAGCCGTCGCATTCCCCATTATTTCCATGACTTAAAAAAATGTTATGAATATTTTTTTTTTTTGTGAAAAATGGGGAACACGACGAAGAAATGATGGAGTCCTTTGAGAGTGAAAAAAAACCATATGTAAACAAGGGCACACGGATGTATATGCTGTTAATAGATTATGCCGTTTTAAACACACACTTTGATAGTAAATTTAGTTATGCCGTTCTATAGACATATGTAGTTTTAGACGTTTTTTGAGTTGTTTCTCCACTCTATTAATAGTAAAATGAGTTAAACCATAAGCTGTAAAACTAAAATGACTACCATGTCGTCGTATTGTCTTTCTATAAGCTTTCGAAATCGTTTTTCTTTGGATAAAAATAATCATCTTTTTTTACTAAGATATTATGTAATGGTTTAGTCAACGAAGACATGATATCGAGACGTGAATGAATCGGGACAATTCAAGATTCAAGATGAGGATTCAACCGAAAACTGAAACATAGAGTAATGACGGTTGGCTTAAATTAAAATCTATTATATAAAAACTCAGTTGAGTCTCACAAGCTTGACACATAAGCACTTTTTCTTTTGACACATCATTTGAAAAAATTAATTTTTTCAATTTAAAAAAAAAAATTAATTCATCAGCCATAACATAAATACAAAAGTAGTTTTTATCTCGAAAAGTCATTCTCTTACAATAAAAAGGAAATGCATTGAACTTGTAGTGTTACCACTTCCTAAAGCACACCCAAAAAAATTGAACGACGCTAAAATAAATTCGAAGAATCAAAAGCCATAGTCATATGTTATTATAAAATGAAGCGGCATTCCACCTATTTTTCATCTTTCTCTTACACGCTCAAAGAACTCCAGAAATCAGATATAGCGCCAACATTGGGAAAGAACTAAAGTCTTCAAATAACATATCCAAAATGCAGATTTTTTTGTGTTACTTTTGTTTTAGTGATTGTGGCTTTTGATGTTTCAGATCAGAAATGCGATCAAGTACATGGATATAATCACTCTATGTGTCTACGAGGAGGTAATGATAACCAATCCTTCCCTCATAGAAAGAGAGCTAGGAACAAGTTGTATCTAGCGTAATTACACAATATATATATATATATCAATATTCCTATTTTATGTATATATAAGAAAAATATTATGAGCCATTAAAATAATTATTTCTTGTTTCCATATTAATTTAGAGTTTTATGCGACGTTTTTTGTTGTTCGCAAAATATTGAAAAAAACAAAAATAATTTTTGTTTATTGTATGCATGAAAAATTATGATATTTTTGTATTCGTAATGCTCTGGTGCCTAACAATATTAGGTTTAGAGAAGATGATATAACAAACGAAGTTGAAGTTTTAGAGGCATTTTCTTTTCTGTTTATAGTTTTCGTACATCTTTTGTAGATACATAAGACTGACATATAGTGAATGTTTAACTCAATCTAAAATTAGCTATAAAATTTTCATACGTAGCGCCTTATTTTTCTGTCACATAGACAAAATTATTTATGTATCAGGAGAATATAATGTCCAAACTTTATCATATTTATTCTATTGACGTCCGAACTTTATATTTTTTTAACTAAAAAATGAATATTTAGAAAGAAATTATTTTTTTTAATATATATTACCCTAAGCAGAACTCAAAGGATTTGAGATGAGATTTAAAGCTAGGCTGAAACAAACAAACTCAATATTTTGTATTTTATTGTGTATCGATGAGTGTACGTATTTGTTAATTTTATTTCATTAGTAAAAAAAACAGAAAATATGTAATAAACAGACAGATATATATCTGATAATAATTTAAAGAGATAATGATTTGCGATTACATAATTCTATCATGATTTAGAAAACTTAAATTTGCATATATATATATATATTATTGATAAACTAAACTATTATATATATATATAAATTACCGCGTGTACACGCAGGGTTTTATCTAGTCTATTATATAAAGACTCAGTTGAGTCTCATCAGCTTGACACATAAGCACTCCATCTTTTGCCACATCAGCTTGACACATCAGCCAAATTAATTGATATTTTCAATATTTCGATTCTTAATTCTATTTCGATTTATTTCATTCCCTTTTTCATTAATCAGAATATTAATTACAAATCGTTCCAACTTCACCATTCAAATATTTAATTCACATTACTTTATTGTATTTTTTCTAATAAACCATTCACCACCTCGAAACTCTTCTGCCCTATGACCATGAAAAGGACGAATCCCCTACCGCCATCGCGTCTTCTCTGTCTTACCTTTGTTAACTCCTAAATATACGCACACTATAAAAAAGTTTCATTGCATATCAAAGATCATTACTGCAAAAGCTGTACTAACCCCAATGATAAACCCTAGCTTTCACCTTCCCTTCTCTCTCTCCCTCAAAACCTCCCAAGTTTCTGCCGCCAACGTCTCACAAATCTCCCCCTCCGTTTTTGTGATGCGTGATATAGAAGTGCAGTGGCGTTCGCCATAGAATCCCTCATCTACAATTTATAGCTTTTTTTAACTGACGACTACGACCAGAAATCGTCTCATCCTTAAAACAAAATAAACTATGAATCTAATCGTCTCATCGTAGAGATTTTGATGGAGACCTTCACGGTTTTGAGTAGACATTACGTTAAAGCTGGATTACCTTCAGGGAGGTAATACATTACTTTAACTGAATGGAAGATTACATATGCGTTCCTGATAAAATTGTGTTTTGCATATTCGTTAGCATCCTCTCTAGAAAAAGAAGAGCTAACGTTTCAATGGCTTGAATGATAAATTCGAACCAGATGTTACAATTTACACTAATTTGGTTGTGGTGCCTAAAAATATCCGAGACAGAGAGAGTGTTTTGTGGGATGGGGCATTGGAATAATGCTTACAAGTTCTTTACAGAAATGGTTGAAGATAATTGTTTGATACCGATCTTGTCTTTATCTGAGATGGTTTTGCTCCGTTAAGAAAAGCTGCACAATTGAAGACATATGAAGAGTTAGATGCGAATATGAAAGTTGCTGGAGATGTAAGTTGTCAAGATGAAGTAATGTTTGCTAAAGAAAGATGCTAGGGAGTCTAAAATAATTATTTTAAAATAGCATATTTATTTGATAGGATCACAAAATCTCCATGTTACTTGATAGAAATATGTATTCAATGTAGAATTTTATGAGAAATAATCAGGCAAAGAGTTTTTCTAATGAATTACATTTTGATTCTTAACTTGATGTTTGTAATTTGTCCACAGTTAACAATATACATGGAATAATTAATAATTCTTTTAAATTTTGGATCTGTGCGATAGGCTATCTGGGTGTATTTTGTAATGAAGATGGTGAATTAAATTAAACTATTGTAGTATCTTACCTCTGAAGCCTGAACAATTGAAAGTAAACCAAAACGCAAAATATAACATATTATACATCACGTTTTTTTTAATGTCACCAACAAACAAAAAAAAGACAAATAAGAGTTCCATAATGTAAATTTATCCAATATTTTTATAGAAAATGTAAAAGAAACAATTCATCCATGTTAAGACTATTTAAACAATTTGGTAAATTTTTATGTAGGATATATATGTTCCGATGTTTATAGCCAAAAATAAAATACAACAAAGTGGTTGGTAAATAGAACAAACAAAACCAAGTACTTAATGATTTGAGTGCTGAATCATAAAATAACCAATATCAAACAAAATTAGATTAGTTTGCTTTAGGACAAACGAATTAGTAAAAAGTTTAATATCATCAAAAATATGGTATGTTTTTTAATTTGATTATGTAACTCATGTTCATGTGATATTGATGTAGGTTAAATAATAACCAAATATCTGAAGAAAATATTTATTTTAACAAAGTTTTCAAATTTATATATTAGGATGATCAATTTCTTAGAAAGACTAATCAAATCACCAATTTATCAGATTACAAATATATATTCATAAACATATATATTTTATACAAAAAAACCCGCGTATCTACGCGGGTATTCATCTAGTTGATATAATTACGAGGTTAAGTGTCTAAAATTAATAAATGATCCTCACGAAAAAGTTAGAATAGAAATGTGGTTCATTTATAAAAAAGTTAAAAATTTAAAAAATTGTTTACTTCTTTTTTTTTTAAAAAAAATGTTAACTTTCCAACATTAAGTTGATCCTGTTTTCAGAAAATAAAAATAAAAAACTTATTTTGCGTAATATCTAATATCTTTTGTTCCAAGTAAATTGTGGAAGTTTCTTCTTTTAACATTTTTGCATCGTTACTTTGCCTCAACTCTCTTAGTTCCGCCGTGTCAAGACTAGTCTAGGAGACTTGGAGGATGGACAAAACCAGTGGCGGATTTAGAAAAAAATTTAGTTGGGGGCATAAGTTTATAAACAAGGAAAAAAAATTAGTTGGGGGAAATTGTTTTTTTATTATTAAATTAAAAAATAATTAGATTAAATATACCTAAATATTTTAAAAAATAAAAAAGAGTAGGGGGCAGGTGACCCCGTCACTCCCTCTCTACCTCCGCCCCTGGACAAAACTAGGATCCAGAAGGTATTAAATGAATATTTCTTTTTTTTTTTGTTTCTTTCAAGAATAAAAAATAATGATTAAAATAAATGAAAGATGTGAGATTAACCTCAGAGTCAGCGACCGTAAGAGAAAAGGTGAAACTTAGTTCGATAACACCCTTATGAGACATGATTAGGAAAAGAATAAAGGATTCTCGCAAAGTCATTTTATAGAGGTAAGATATAATCACTAAGACAAAAGAGCTTAACAAGAAGACAATTTTTATGAATAAGCACGAATCAAATTAGAAGAAATCAAATAACCAAAAGAGAAATCGTAAATTAAGGTAAATATAATACCAGTTTAAGTTCTCTTATTAATTGTGTGAATTAAATTAATACAAACTTTAAGTTTTGTATTTATAGCTTCAAATGAGTTTGTTCGTGAATCCATGCGTCAAAATTCTCCATCGGTTGCCCAATTTCATATTCGTGCTTCTACAACTCA